TATCGAACAAAAAGTGTCTGCACTCGACAGGATTGTCCAAAACGTGAACGTATTGTAACAACCACAGATATAGGTCTCGAGTAAGTAATGAACGTCGTCAGTGGAATAATTGTAAATTGAATTAGTTTGTTAGTGTAGCTGTTGGCCTTCAGTTGTGACTTACATTATTTCTGACATATATCACAGAAATTGTACAAAAACTAAATATAAGAATAGTTTTTCAATTTCTTTTATAAATATATTTCATTAATAATAATAAATATAATCATAAACATATATATAAATATAATCAAAAGTATATGTATAATATAAATATATAAATATATTTCAATAATGTGACGAGGGAATTCTTTCAGTTTTTAACGCGTAACGACTCTTTACTACTACACCTCTTCAGCATGAATCGATATAAACTGCGTCTTCCTGATATTTAGATGTTAGGAAACTTCTGTTTCAAAATTTGAACATGTCCTATTGCGGTGAATTCGTCAAAAGACTGAATGAAGTCACATACAAAGAAGCGAGCCGACTTCGGTATAAAAAAGATACAACAAAAATCATGAACGTCCATACAAATACAATGGAAGACGAGTAAGCTTAGTAGTAATTTCTAATAACAATATGTAAAACTGAATTTTATAGGGACTGCTGGCGATGTAACGCACAAGTAATCGCTCAGCCAGCAAGTTTTATACATGGCAATCCACCATTCCTTTTCGTGGACATTATTCATCCCACTATTGAAAATCCAACAAGTAAAGAATTAACACCGGTTAGTCTCAACTTCCATGATATTCAACGTAGTGTTACAATTGGCGCATTGACGTAGGTAATCACAAATAATATCTTGAATTTTGCATTTCAAAATGCTTTTGTTCAAATTATTTCGACTACAGTCCTAGAAAACTAGAAAAATACGTGCAGGAAGTCTTTCGCGTACTTTATGGCAGAATTCGTGTTACTTTCGTGAATATAAATCTGTTCGAAAGCGGTGTAGCCGATGATGTCCCGTATTATGTGCATAGTCTCTTAGAGGCTAGACATTCTTCTTAATCTGCTAAGTTCGAAACGCTAAAATGCTAAAATCCAAACTACACTGATTTTTCCCTGACACGTATTTCAGTTTTTATAAAATGAGACCAAAAAATTAAGCATGATTCTCTCTTATATAGATATAATTTACGAGCAACAATTAATCATGAAGTTGACCATTTTACCACCACTATTGATTATACCAATGGATAGAGCTCTTCAAGTTGTGCTTGGAACAAGAATAGGGACTTTGGAACAGGTCCTTAGACGAATATGGGCAACTTTTACTCGAATCTGGTGCTAACTTCACCTACATCATTTTTTGCAACATTTTACCATCACACAATTGTATTTTAATATTTATTCCATATTTTTCATAATCATCCTTATAGTGAAAATAACAGATTTGTAGCTTAAAACAATGATCCATAATTGAAGGAAAAGCTTACATCATTTTCAGGTATATGTAGACATATATCTACATTAAGACCCATTGTATTGAAAAATTTAACCGCACTTTCATTTATCGCCAAAAGCAATATTTTGACTTGATCCAACCATTTCTGTTTAGCATTTTCAGCTGCTATTTGATGCTGATGCAGATGTAATTCTATTTCTCGGTAATGAGATTGTAATTCAACTAACATCGCTGGTTGTATTTGATATTCATGAAGTACCTAGAAAGAAGGTGAGTGAGAATAAGCAAATAGATGGTTGTGCAATATGTGAATTGTCCTTTATAGTTAACAAATGCAATCAGCGAGGGTATGACCTATACGGTCAATGTACATAACCCAAGAATCAATGTACAAAAGAATTATTATCTCAGAATGTTTTACTTACAACTTTATCGAAATTAGATTGACAATTCACCTTGAAATTAGATTAATTAATTACTTCAGATAACGATGATCCACCATCTAAAGTGATGATCTGAAGTTGTACTAATGCTTTATTTGTTGCAATTCGACCTTGATCCGTATTTGTTAATGAGATAATTGGTAATTTAGATAATGTTTTGTGTTTCGGATATATGTGAAAAACCTAGAAAGAGGATCGGTAGTGCTAAACAATCAGATGTCTGAATAATATGTGAACGGTCCCTTATATGTAAGAGATTTTACACGATCGACGTACGTAGTCGTACTTTACAAACATCTTTCTTGACTTACCAACTTTATTTGGCCAAGTATTTGATTCATAAATAGCGACAAATTTCCTGGCAATGGTATTTCAAATAATTCTGCTATTATTCGTGGCCATATTCTAGTTTCAATTTCACTCGTTTTCATTTCGATTTGCTTTGTCACTCCTTCAAACTGAATCAAAAAGAATAATCATCATTTACTTAACGAGGAAAAATGGATGAATTACTTGAATTTTATTAAAATTCTGTGTATTTTCTTCTAAATCAGCCTTTTGCTTTTTCATGTTCATAACGTGATACGGCTAAACGAACGCTTTCAATCACTAATTCGACACATTGATGATACTAAAATTAAGTAAAATAAGGCAGTGAATGTATCAAATTGAAGAAACAGAAGAAGAAATAAATGAAATGAGTTGGGGCTACTCTCTTAACAAAATAGGCATTTTAAAAAACCTAAAAAGGGGTCAGGTAACTGCAAATATACGGAGCCCTTTTTAGGATTTACTAAGGATTTTTCACGCTTACTGAATCCTCTTTAAATTTCAGTTGCAAATGAAATATCTATTTTTTAGAGGATAGTTCCTTGTATTTGAAATGATATTATATTTTCTTATAAGTTCGGCATTTAACGATTCTGTTGTTATATAAAAAGGATACGAATTAAGTTTTGAGCTCTTACTAACACTTTACTTTTCAATATAGTTGTCAATTCAAAAAGAAATCGCGGT